CGGAAAGAAAAACGGTTTCGGCCCTTTTACCGCCATCCCCTTGCAACAATGGTGGAGACCAGAAATCCTAGATTTCCGTCGGCGACAACCCTCCTGGGCGGCCCGCGTGGTGTTCTGGATCAGCCGCAAGTCGGCGAGCCGGCGGCCTATGCAAGACCGACCATCAGATGCCCAAGCGAGCCAATGGCGCGCGCCAGTGTCAAGGAAGGCTGTCGATGCCGAGGCAGCGTCTTTGCCCGCTGTCTCATGCAAAAGGCGAGCGACGAGCAATGGGCATGATGCCATGTCCCTGAGGTCCAGCCCCTGCAGGATGGACAGCTGGCAGAGCACCATCTTCCCAGAGATCTCGCCGAATTCGCGCTGCAAAGATTGGAAGAGAATGGCATCGCCACCTCATGGTACCGAGGGACCGCGTCCTTCCCGCGCCGCCGCCTGTTCCTGTCGGAGAGCCGGCAGCATGCCCAGAGACACCGCCGACCACCTTCCGCCGAGGCTGCTGCCAACTCGACGCACTGCAGTGCAACAACCGAGCAGTCGCCGTGCTTCGCGGCCACCGCGTAGAGTGTCTGGCAAGAGAGGCGCGTCCGAGATTCCTCTTTCATCTGGCATCGGACCCTCCTCCCTGCAGTGTCCGAGCCGCTCCCGGGGCGGAAAGCTGGCATCACTGAAGCACGGCGTGCGCAGCCCCGCAGCAGTACCTCCACCACACGGCGCGGGGGAGGCCTCTCGGATCCCGGCGTCGAATCGTGCCGGCCACTGCGCGCCCAGCCTGCATGCTGTCCGCGTGGAGTGCAACGTGGTCTCCGAGCAGATTGGGGAGCAGCGCGTCCAGCACCGCGGCCTGCGGCCCCCTCGGGGCCAGGAGGAGGAGCAGGGGCGCCCGATGGGGGGGTGCGCCGCCGCCGAACATTGCGAGGGGGCAGCGTCGCCTCCCTCCGCGTCCACCGCCCCCCGAGCCGAACGCGGCTCCACCTCCCCGGGTGTGCCGAAACTTGTGCTTCGTCGGCGGCGAGGTAGGGCTGGCTGCACCAGCGCAAGAGCTGGACGGAGGCGCCGAAAAGCGAAGTGGCCAGCGTGCAAGAGCTAGGTCGGGCGTGTCCTCCTGCAGGCGGATTTCATGCGAAAGCTGAAAAACAGCCAGAGAATGGCCCCCAAAATAATCAAACATAGTCAAAAAACCGCCCCCTTATTGTTCTACTATATTTTTGAATCTTGCTCCTGTGCCCGACTTCATGCAAGAGGCATGCCGACACAGGCCTGCGCGCCTGGCGGTGCCGGAGGCGCTGGGGGGTTCGGCGGGCGCGGCGGGGTCCGAGGAGGAAGAGGGCGGAGAAGCCGGGGCGAGCTGCGGGGGACGCAGGCGCCGAGGCGCCTCGTGATGGTCCAGCGCCTGCAGCATGTCATGTCCAGGGGGTGTCATGGTTGCAGCCTGCAGCTGCCGCTCCATGCTGCAGGCTGGGCATCTGCCCGCACTTGGAGCCGGAGCTCCGAGGAGCGGGCAGGCACAGCGCTGACAGGAGAATGGGCCACTGAGTAGGATAGTCGGGCCTCCCCCTGTTGGCGCAGCACCGAGTGCAGGGTGGCGTGCTTCTGGATGTGTTCCTCGAGCTTGTGGCTGTCCTCAGGGGAGGTGCCTTCGGAGGTGCCCTCTTTGTCGAGGATCTGTGCCTTTGCGCCGTCGACCGTGTCCTCGACTGCGGCGTGGAGCGAGACGGTCTTACCCGTGAGCGTCTTGAACCAGATCTGTACGATTCCCTTGTTGGTGCTCGCGTTGGTGTTGATGTTGTTGCTGTCCTCGGTACTGGCGCTAGTGTTTGCATCATTGCTGTCTTGGCTATCGGTGTTGGCGCTGGCGTAATCGCTGTCAGTGCTGGCGCTGGTGCTGGCATTGGCGCTGTCGTGCTGAGTGCTGAATGCTGAGTGTAGGTTGTCGTCTTGTTGGATGTGGTGGGATTGCTGTCGATCGTCGTTTTCGTTGTGGTGGAGCTGCAGTTTGTTGGAGGGCCGGTCGCGCTGATGCAAGTGGTTGTCGTCGTCATGGTGGTAATTACTGTGGTGGCAAGTCGTGCAATCGAGGTGAAGCGCTGGGTACTGGGATGAGGGCTGGCCTGCGGTCATGCTGTTGTACGGCAGTCCGCTGCTGCATGGTAGAAGTACTCTGCGCTGCATTATGCTGTGCTGCTGACCGCGGAGGTGCTGCGCATTGGTTATGTTGGTCGCGGTGGTACTGCCGGCCAGCGTTGTGCTGGTCGCGGCAGTCAAGGTCGTAGAAATGGTCCCAAACAGGCACCTGCAGAACGGATTGGAAGACCCGCCCCGCCCTGGCACTTCGGGCCTCCCACCCTGCGGAGAGGAGCGTATAACGGAACAGGTGCGGCTCCTCCCAAGACAGCCAAAGAGGCGGGTGGTTGGCATGCGTGAGGGGCTGGCCACTGTAGCGAGGGAGAGTCGTGGTGGTTTCGGGGGGTCGCTCGAGGGATGAGCGTTCGTTGGAGGACCAGGATGAGCAAGAGGGTGACATCTTGGGTGCTGTCCTGGGTGCCAGCGTCAAAGCTGTCCTGGGTGTCGGCGGTGGCATTGGCATTGTTGTTGTCGTAGGTGCTGTCGTCGGTGCTGGCGTAGATGTCGGCGTAGGTGTTGTTGCTGGTGCTTGAGTTGGAGCTGTCCTCGATAGCCAGCTGGGACCAGCACGCGTCCTGAGGGCACTGATCCTGCAACAACTGGGGCCACAGAAGCTGGGGCCTCGAAAAGATGTAGTTCGATTGAGACGAGGCAGAGTACGGCACTTGGGAAGACGCAGGTCCAGTGATGCTGGGGGCAGGGAGGGTGCATTCCAGGATCAATAATAGGACGTTGGGGAGGGAGACGGTCCCTGGCTAGGACTTCTTCCCTTGATTGCTGCTTCCCCCCTGTGTCCCCAGCGTCGTCTTCAGCGTTGTCGTCGTTGAGGCGGACCACCCGAACATGCTGGGCGTCACCTCCAGCATGGTCCGCATGGATGGCGTCGGTGCCGACTCTGAGAGTGATGCGGATCTCCTCGCCGGTGCAGGCGACGGCATCTGGTGCTGGAGCTGGGTATGCCGTGGAGGTAGGGCTGGCAGAAGCCACTCCGCCGAGAATGGAACATGGTCCGGGGCGTGCTCCGCTTGGGCCTCGTAGCCGCTGCAGAAACGCTCGTCCCCGCAACTGGCTGCTGGCGAAGATTTTTTGTATGCACCGCAGGCAGCGCGCGCGATGTGTTAACGCCCTCTGTCCGCTCTTGCGCCGAGGCTGACTGGCAGGGCGGCGCCAGCGGACAAATCGTGCCCCCCCTGTGAGAACGACAGAATTACTGGTGCAAGCTACCGTGTCTGGCGCGAAGCCGCCAGGAGAAAACTGGCTGCTGGCGAAGATGAGGCGACGCTGGCCGTCGAGACAAACCTTGCGGTCCTCCGTCGCATCCTTCACCCTCGAAGTGTGGAGCGAGAAGGGATCAGCGAGTGTTCTCTGCATGTCGGATTGATTTGTTTGTCAGTACGTGCGGTGCGGCGTCACCTGATTGGTCGCGTCCGAGACGACCACGTCGAGCGTGGTCGACGTCCCAGGCGCCGTCGTCCCCAAGATCTTGCGGCCGGAGTCGTCGACCCCGCCGCTGACGTGGTCGTGGTGGTGCTGCTGGTTGCCCTCGTGCTTGTCGTAGCAGAGCTGCTGGGTGCTCTCGTGGATGATGCGTTCTGCACTAGTGCTGTTGCGCTGCACACTACTGTTGCCTGGTGACATGCTGGGTGCCCCAGTCCGCTTCTGTACTAGTCGTGGTGGTTCTGCGTGCTGTGGGTGTGCTGGATCGTGGTGATGCTGCCCTCTCCTGTTGTCTTGGCTGCGCTCGAGGTCGGAGTCGAAGTGGACACAATCGCAGAAACCCTCCTGTGCAAGCACCTGGCTGTACTGCGTGTCGGCGTCTGTCAGAGCCCAGCCAGTTGAGAGGTCGTAAGCAGAGGCGTGTGCGCGGCTGCCATATCCGAGGTCGGGTTTGGGAGGACGTCGTCGTCGTGGTGGTAGCAGCTGGAGGCGTAGCTGTGGTCAGGATGGTCGTAGACGCTGGCGTAGTTGCTGTGTAAGCCGGCAGGGCCGCTGTGGTCGGTGTGGTCAAGGTCGCGGTGGTCGTCGTCCACCGCTGATGTCAGTCCTAAGCATGGTATTTCCTAGAGGTGGGGTCCAGAACCATGGGGTCCGGGATAGGGTCGGTCACTTCTGAGGGGTGAAGGGTAGGTAGGGACAGCAAAAGATTGCAGGCGTGGGGTTAAACGGAATGTGGGAGTCACCGAGGTCCTGTCGAAGGCACTGACCTGGACCTCCTGCAGGCCCCATCCGCTGGACCATCGGATTACCACTGGACGGGATCACAATGCGTGGAGATCCTTGCGGTCACCGACGTCGCATTTCACGACGTATCCGCAAGTGGTGTCGTCGACGAGTCCGGGCTGGACGAGCATGATTTCCGTGTCGAGGTCGAGGGCGGAGTAGCAGAGCTTCCCCATCACGTCGTCCACGAGCTCGGGCTCCGGCGAGATGGTTAAGGAGCGCCCGCGCGTATTGAGAATCTTCATCAGGTACCCAGTGAGGTCGCGGCGGGCCACGTCTCTTCGCAGCAGCTTTGGCCCCTTGTGTGAGCCACAGCCGTCGGAGATCCTGACGATGGGGATGCCCGTGGTGTGGTCAGAGGCGTAAAGCGACAGCACCACCTGGGTGGCCACGAACTCCATGAAGGTCTTGGCGTGGTTGCCCGCGTGGGTGTTCGCGTGTTGGTGCTGGCGTCGGTGCTGTTCCGGCCATCGTCCTCGATCTCCAGCTGATTCCCCAGTCTCAACGGTCATGCGGTTCCCTGGCATTGCGGTCGGCTCGCGAGGGCAGAACCTGGAAACACCTTGGTTCACCCGCCCTCGTGAACCTGCGCGAAAGGTCCGCGCGCGGCGCGGGCGCATGCGCGGGCGTTGAGAAAAACGGGGGGGAAGTAGGAGGCAGATGAGGAGAAGAAGTAGCGGTGGGAAGAGGACCAGGGAGGAGGAGGGGAGGAACAAATGTGCGATCTCCGACTTTCTCCTTTCAATGCTGCAATGTCTGCCGCATTGCATTGTTGCGGTGCTGCTTCCTCACTCATCGCACCGCAGCATATGGTCGGCCAGTATGCGCTAAGATGCCACACCAGCGCACACCAGGCCTGACATGATAAAGTCTGACCCGGCTGCTAGCAGAAATATTACGTAATCGTAAACTTGTGATCCGCACGGATTTCTTGGATCGGCGGTAGGCACCCCCCTCCCTGGCGCACGGAGTGCGCCAGAGGCGCCCCAGCGCCGACCCCAGAAATCCGCGCGGACCTGCGAAAGTGTATGCTGATGACATGTTCTGCTCTTCGAAATCCCCGACTTGGCTTGTGGATCCATCACGCTTCTATCCCCAGCTCCGCCAGCCCTCTCGTACCGGCCGCGCACCACCTCCAGGCAGGTTTGCACGCCCCGCTCGTGGACGTCCTCGGCGGTGAGCGTGGCGATTCCCATCTGGTCCGAGTCCACGAGGTCCTGGTATGCATACGTGGAGCCGCGAATTCCGATGTGCGTCGACCCATCCTTGGAATAACAAACATAAACTTTTGGAGAGCCGCACGGATTTCTTGGATCCTCGCTGGACCACCCTCGAAGCGAGACATGGGCTGCGCCAGAGGCGCCGACGGGAGGGTCCAGCGCAGATCCCATAAATCCGCGTCGACCTCCAAAACTTTGCAAGGAAATCCTCCTTATCATCATCTAGTGCGTAAATTTCTACATGTTGTATTTTCTTTTTGGGCACACGCCGCACAGTCGGTGCGCGCCCACCTGTGGACCCTTTCGCGGGGCACCTCCGACGCCACCGCTGCCACGCACATGCCCGCACGCGCCATCAATCCGCATCAACCACGCACTGAGGATCGCCATCCCCTCAACCATTCCCACCAACCAAACCAAGCAGGTTCCTCCTCCTCCTCCTCCTCCTCCTCCTCCTCCTCCTCCTCCTCCTCCTCCCGCTCATCCTCCTCCTCTTCCTTCTCCTCATCCTCCGCCTCTTCCTCTTCCGCCCTCCTCCTCCTCCTCCTCATCCTCCTCCTCCTCCTCCTCCTCCATCCTCCTCCTCCTCATCCTCCCCCTCCTCCTCCTCCTCCTTCTCCTCCTCTTCTGCCTCCTCCCTCCTCCTCCTCACCCTCTTCCTCCTCTTCCTCCTTCTTATCCTCCGAATAGCTCCTGCTGTTTGACTATACCTCGTTCTCCTCCCCGCCTGCTCACCATGATCACTGTCAGCAGCATCATCATCCTTCTCCCTGCGATCACCTGGAGCTGTGCAGATACTGCGCTGGCATGTGCCGGCGATGTGCGCGGCCTATCTGGGTCGAGGACATGCACCTGGCTGCGCCCCGCGCCCTCCTCGTCCCGCAGGTGCCAATCACATGCCGCGCGCATGCCGGCACAGCATTTGCACAGCTCCAGGCGCCCAGAGAGAGGAGGAGGAGGAGGAGGAGGAGGAGGAGGAGGAGGAGGAGGAGGACGACGACGACGAGGAGGAGGAAGAGGAGGCGGAGACGAGCGCACAGGGAACGTCCAGTCAGGCGGAATAAGCGACTCTGAACCGCCACTCACGCAAAGAGCCGAACCGAAAACGAGGAAGGCGGAAGCCTTCGGAATGCCAGGAGATACCCCAGGGATGTGGAACAGGGTGCACACGGCGAGGGTGGCCGAGGGCAGCTGCGGCAGCACGAGGAAGGGCATCGACAGCTACGTCGACCAGTATGCGGTCCAACGCTGGCCATCGATACCATACCCGCTCTCATCGTTACCCCCACCTCCATCTTCATCAGAAAGGCCATGGTCGGCTGTGGCGGCGAACCCAGAGCTACTCCGGAGCCAGCGCTGCCGCCATCAGTCCGCGGAGCTACTCTGGATCCAGCGCTGCCGCCACTGGCAGGAGCAGAAGAGCACAGGCGGTCCGCGCGGCCAGTGGATACGCCCAGATGCCCACCAAGGGCAAGTTGGATCTTCATCTCCTGGGTTCCAGAGGTGCGAAAAATAGTGAAGGCTGCGTTGGCTCCCTTGGCGACGTTCTGAATGCGCTTCGCCGTCAAGGATTTCACAAGCTCCTCAACGCCGAAGATCTGCTCTGAGTGTTCAGCAGTCACCCCCTCCAGCTTGGCCAAAGAGGCAATGATCAGCTCCACATCGTGCTTATGGAACGTGGTGAGCAAGTCTGCGACCCGCGGCTTGACATCATTCAAACTGGAAGTGCGAATCACCGTCATAAGGTAACAAACCTCGTCTCGAGAAACATGAATCAGATGCTGGCACCCATCCCACAACTTGTCCATGGATTTGCGCATATGTCGGATGATGTTCGCCTCCGTCGCCAAATATTGCTTGTCAACCTCACAATCGATGTACATATTTTCCTCGAGAAGCCGTCGGCGCACACACCCCAGCAGCTTGGCACACGAACAGCGCAGGCACGCCTCTCATGGCCTCCAGCTTCACAGAAGCCAGCGCCACCGAAGGTCCACCACTTCCGCCCCCAGAGAGCGAACGTGCCGCCCTGGGCCGCGCCCTCCTTCTGGGCGGCCTCGGATCGGAGGCAGGGGGCGCGCGCGCGCGGCTCCTCCTCCTCCTCCTCCTCCTCCTCCTCCTCCTCCTCCTCCTCCTCCTCCTCCTCCTCGTCCTCCTCCTCCTCGTCCTCCTCCTCCTCCTCCTCCTCCTCCTCCTCCTCCTCCTCCTCCTCCTCCTCCTCCTCCTCCTTGGCGCCCTTTGAGCCCGGGCCTGCACTTCGGAGGTCACGGCCCGGGAAACCTCGTCGAAAGCCGCCTCTACCTTGCCGGTGCACTGCTGGCAATACAGGTCGCAGAACACCACGAAGGGAAACATCGCATTCCTGGAGGTGCTCGCTAACGTGGGAGGCAAGCGCAAGAGCTTGAACATCGCACCTCTGGTGTAGGCTTTCTTTCAAACCTGAAGGATGGTCCTCGGTAGGTGCTTTCTGCATCGCAAGGGCGCCTGAGAGCACATCAATAACATCAGATCGCTTTCCACTCTTATGTTCAGTCGCCAGAATCAGCTGCTCATGATTGTGGCCCGCGCAGAACCACTCCTGCACGACCGACCACAGCTCCGAAACCTGGAGCCGACAGAGCACATGCCGAGGTGCCCGTGGCAATCGCAGCGCCAGGACTGGGAACCAGCGGGGGCAGCACAAGCGGGGCCTCCGACTCCACCTCGTGCTCGAACGAGCACGTGCCAGGCCAGACGGTGTCCGACGGGAGGAGCTTCGGGGGCGTCCGGACGCACCGCGGCGCGCAGAGCAGCCCGAGCCCGCACGGGGGAGGCAGCCGCCCTAGAAGCCGAGCCACAAGGCTAAACAACAAGGAGGAGGAGGAGGAGGAGGAGGAGGAGGAGCGGGACAAGGGGGAGGGCAAAGGCGAGAGAAGGAGGAAGAGGAGGAAGAGGAGGAAGAGGAGGAAGAGGAGGAGGAGGGAGGGAGGGAGGGAGGGAGGAGGGAGGAGGGAGGTGTCCAGCACGACGGTGCCGCCGACGAGCAGACACAGACTGCTCCTGTGGAAGAATATATGGCGAACCAGAGCGCTGGCATGCGACGGCTCGAAGAAAACCACGCTCGAGTAAGCAACAGTGTGCATTGTGATGTCGATGCGAGCGTAGCTCTCAGTCGGGCACGTCCTTCTACAGGAGGAATATTCCAAAATAGTGTTTAAAAATAGTCAGGGGACGAATCTCTGTTATTACTTGACAGTTCTCGAATATGTTTGACAACTGTTATGTTTCCTCCAAAATCCGCCTGTAGGAGGACATGCCCGACCTATGTGTAGCTGAGCAAGACAAAAACGAGTTCATCATCGCGGACGTGCTCGGCGAGCTCAGGAACCTGCGCCGCCAGTGAGCTGACGTTCTGCGGCATCGCCCAAAAGTCAAAGAATGAACAGCTGTCTGGAACACGTATCTGCCCAGAGAGAGCGAGGGCAACGAAGCTCGCCCAACAGCTCAAGGGAGACTTCAAGCCACCATGAGCTCAGCGCGATGGAGCCAAGATATTGGGGCAAACAAGAAAAGAGGCTTGAGCCAAAACGGCTACGGATGAGGAAGAGGAGGAGGAAGACGAGGGAGGACGAGCGACGAGGACGCGGGAGGGATGGGGGGAGGGAGAGCGAAGAGGAGGAGGAAGAGGAGGAGGACGACAACGACGAGAACGGGGAGGAGAGGGCTGAGCAGGATGCGGAGGAGGGGGGGAGGAGGAGGAGGAGGAGGAGGAGGATCGAGGAGAAGAAGGAGGTGGATCGAGGAGAAGAAGGTGGAGCGAGGAGGAGGGAGGACGAGGAGAGAGAAGAAGATGAGATAAGAAAATATGAAAAGATGGGGGGAGGGAGGAGGGTGGATGAGGAGGAGGGAAGATGAGGAGGGAAGAGAAGGAAGAGGAGCGAGGAACAGAGGGCCCGTGTCTCCGCGCATGCCAGCACGTCCACAAATATCATCCCGGGGGCGAGATCCGAACGGGAACTCTCCAGCAAAACTCCTTGCACCAAACTCCCGCACGTGCCGCACACATGCCCGCACAGGTGCTCACGTCGATGGATTACTGCGCGTCCATGGGAAAAAATACCGCACATGCCGGGCACATGCCGGGCACACGCCCGCACATGCCCGCAGATGCCGAGCCAAACATGCCCGCACATAGCCCAGAAAACAGGCACCAGAAACGAGCCAAGTGCGTGTGTGTGTGTGTGCATGTTTTCTCCTTCGGATCCTTGGCCAACAGGCCGTCCTCCCAGCACTTCCTAGCGGGGCACCGATTGGGGGGGGGGGCTGGCATAGGGGGGGTTGCATCGACCTGGAATCGGCGATACATCGCCGACAGATCGGCTATAGGCCTCCGATCGTGAGTCCGCACCTTCCTGGGCAGGTTGGGGCTGTCGGGCCCCTATCGGCGATCAATGGGCGATGTGGGGTCGACGTATCCCTCCTTACGCCCATCCCCTCCTATCATTGCCCCCGATTCCTGAAGGGGGACCCGTGCCAGGTGTCCTGCTCGTACATGGGGGGGAAGGTGTCGAGGTGGGAATCGAAGTGGATGAGGGCGACTGGGCCGAACCGTTCCTTCACCGCCTTCTCGGGTCGGACGAAAGGGGGGGCAGTCAAGGGGGAGTTACCAAGGCCAGGCTAACGGCGATGTTGCCTAACAACGGCGAACCAAACTGCAGAAAATCACGAACCAAATCTGCGAGCGGATCGAGCGAACACGACACAGCGAATTGCAGGAAAGCGCGAGCCACGCGTTCCCACACTGCCAAAACCTACAACTCCGTTACCTACATCGCCGTTAGCCCATTCATGGAAGGGGGGTAGTCAAGGGGTAGTTCGCGCAGCAGCTCACGGAGCTGAGTCTCCACTCGCCTCTGGGTCTGGGTAACAGGGGATATGTCGACCCCTATCCCAGGCTTCGTGGGGCCCAACCCTGGGATATACGATGGGGCGGCGTCCATCCTCGATAGGGGTGCGTCCGAATAGCCCCCTGGGGGTGTATCCCAGGGACTCCCTCCATTTCTGAGCGGTTTCATTTTTCGTCGAAAAGCCAAGGGCTGGGGGAGAAAAATCGCCTGCGACTAAATGTCACGGTTCTACAAAGTGTCACAAGGCCCACAGGAGCTACAAGGAGCACCAGTGGTCACAAGAGACAACCAAGGCCACAAGGAGCACATTTGCGATCCTTGTGACCCCCATGACCGCCCCATGACCCCTACGACCCCCACAAGATCCCCATGACATTGTGACCCCTGTGACACGGGGATCACACGGGTCACAGGGATCAAAGAGGGTCACAAGGGGTCAAGAGGGTCACGAAGGTCGCAAAGGCCATCAGGGTCACGGGGGGTCACAGGGGACCACATGGGGTCACAGGCCCAGGCGGCGCCAGCGTATTGGAAAAAAGCGCCTGGCGGCGGGGCCAGAAACAAGCTGCATGCAGCAGATGTTGTGACCACCCCTCTCCCTGCGCCCCCCTTTGCTCCGACTCGACCTTCATCACCGGATAGGAGAGCGTGTGGTCGCCGCCCATGACGACCAGTCGCCTCGCCACCTGCAGCTTCTCCCTGCACCCCTGGAAAATCGAGTCCATTGCCTGGAGGATGCCGAAGGGCGTGCACGCCACGTCGCCCGCGTCAACAACTTGCCGCTCCAGCAGAGGCCGCTGCTGCGCAGCGATCATGTACGGCCGTATCAGCCTCGAGTTCGCCCGGATCGACTCGGCGCCGAAGCGCGCTCCTGGGCGAAAGCTGCAGCCCGAGTCAAAAGGTACCCCGAGCACGGCGATGTCGACGGTGCCAGCGGAACGCCGCTCCAGGCAGAGATCGACCTCCAACTCCCCACCCTGGCCATCCACCAGCTTCTCTCTCCGCTGCTGCCAGCGGCCACTCGGCAGCGTCCAGAGGCCAACCGACGTCCTCCCGAGGCTGTTGTCTGGGATCAGGAGGTTCGCATTGCGCACCTCCAGCTCCAGGACGCCGTCTTGCCCGCCCAGCGTGAAGGAGAACTCGTTGTCCCCAGTCCAGACGGGATTCAAGTCGTTCTTGATCGTGGGGGTCCTGTGCTCAACGGTCCCAACACGCACCACGACGTAGGGATCGGACACGTCGCCAAGGATGCCGGTGTCACGATCTCGCAAGGAGTGCCCGCCCAGCACGCGCACGTGGAGCAAGCCGCTGGAGGACGACTGGTTTGCCAGCAGCTCGTGGAGCTGCGGCAGCCTGGCGAAGGTCGATATGCCGCTGTATCGAGGGTGCACAGAAGGGCTCTGGGGGCCGATGATGCGCCCGTCGGCGGAGGTGAGGCGCGTGGAGCCGGAGACCTCCTCAAGGCCACCCCAACTTCGCGCACCACGCCCCGCGATGCGCGACGCGCGGCCATCTCCGCCTCATCGCGCCCTCGCGCCGCCCCCCTGGAGTTAGGTCGGTCATGTCCTCCTACAGGCGGATTTGGACGAAAACTTAAAAATACTCAACAATAGTCCAGAAAATCGAACGATACCAGAGAAAATACCCAATCATAATCTCTTCAGGGCTATAGGGCTATGGGGCTATAGGGCTGTAGGCTTATAGGGCTATAAGGCTATAAGGCTATGGGGCTACAGGGCTATAGGGATATAGGGCTATAGGGCTATGGAGAGATAGGGCTATAGGGCTATAGGGCTATAAGGTTATAAAGGCTATAGGGCTATAGGGCTATAGGGCTATTGGGCTATATAGAGATTTAGGGCTATCAGGGCTGTAAACTATAGGGCTATAGGGCGATAGAGCACCCGGGCACCCCCGGGCACCCCCAGGCACCCCCTTGCACCTCCGGCCCCCCTCCCTGGCACCCAGGCACCTGGGCACCCGGGCACCCGGGCTGGCCACCAAAATCGGCGGCCCACCTAACCTAACTATGTGAATCCGCGAGGATACCTACAGAGGCAAGCTCTGATTGGGGAAAAATAGTCCCCATATTAATTTGACCATGTTTGAATAATCCTCCTGCAGAGGGACAGGCCAGACTTAACTCTGCAGCAAGGCAACCGCTCTGGCCAGGACCGCGGTCCGCGAAAAGCTCCTCCGCGCCCCCGCAGGGGGGGCCCATGGGCTCCTCGAGCGCGATGTCGTCGAACTTCTTCCTGCCCGCGGGCGGCGCCGGGCCCCCGGCCACCGCCCGTGGAGAGAGGTGCCGGGGCCGCACCAGGTCCGGAGTCCACTCGAACTCGTGAGCACGGCCCCAGTGCTCCTCGGGTAGACAAGCGCGCTCCACTGCTCACAAAGGCAACTACTCGCAGATGGCCTGGACTCGCCGCGGGGAGTTTACGATCCACTACATCGAGGCAAGCATCGGTTTTGAGGACGTTTCAAGGGTTCGCTTGCGTCCTCCTCCTGCTCCTCCTCCTCCTGCTCCTCATCCTCCTCCTCCTCCTCCTCCTCCTCCTCCTCCTCCTCCTCCTCCTCCTCCTCCTCCTCCTCCTCCTCCCTGGAGCTCCTGAAGCCAAAAAACGTCGACGCCTCTCTTTCACCTCCGCCGCCTTCCGCCAGCGGGCCCGCCGCCGTTTGGCTTCCGCCAGCCTCCGAGCACCTTCCGCCGGCTCCCGCCGAAGGCGATGCGCGCCGAAGACGAGGCCCTTTTTCCCGAAACGCTACTCCAGATTTCGTCATAAAAGGGAGAGGGTCTGGACCCTCCAAGACAAGCCATTGCAGACCTCCCCCGTGGGAGAACCCTCCAAAACATCGTCCCCAGACCCCCCAGGCCCTCCAAGATAGCCTGGAAGAGACCCCCCCCGAAATGAGACCCCCCTCCCTTTATTACGAAATCTGGAGTACACATGGCCCCCAGGCCCAAATCAGCCACTGGATCGCAGGGGATTGGCTGACCTCGTCAGCGGCGACCCCCATGCGAGCTTCTGGACCACAAATCGAGCTTCCGGCGGCCGACCAGGACGACTCCCGCATCCCCGGAACGCCCTCGGCGAGGCGCAGCTGCATGAAACTACCCCAGGTCCCAAAAGCCGAAAACCTCCGAAAACATTTGAAAACCCTCCAGCCTCGTAGGGGGCTGGCTGGCCCCCGTCAGCGCTGACCCCCGTTAGCCGCGAGCGGAAAACATACACGCATCCACGGCCTCGCTGGCCAGGCCCCTGGCACGCGGCCCCGAGGAAACGGCATGATTGTTCTTCGAAGAAGCCCCACACGGAACGTGTCCATGCGAGCGCGTATCCACAGCCCCACACGGAACGTGTCCATGCGAGCGCGTATCCACGGGACCGCACCCTGGAATCCAGACCGCGCTGGCGTGGATATGGCTATATTCGCCGCTCGTGGATTTCCTGCGCCCCATGGTGCTCCAGGCACGCGAAACACCGGCACACGTAGCGCCACTTGTCCGCGCTGCACCGGCACTGCCCCTCAGGCGGCTTTGGGCGTGGGTCGTGCCCTGGGGCGCAAGAAGTGGGAGGCGGAGAGGAGGAGAAGGATGAGGAGGGGGGGAGAAGGGGGAGGAGGAGAAGGAGAAGGAGAAACAGCAGCAGAAGGCTGGAAGGAGGAGCAGCAGCAACATAACGTATGCGAGTATTGCACTTGATCGCAGTTAACGAGCGTGTGCACCACAACCGGCCGGGTGGAGCAACGCTCGTGGTGAAAGCTGAAGGGTTCCCTTCCTTGTCAGGATAGTGCATCGTTTCGTTGCTGACCAAGCAAAAAGAGCAGCGCCAGAAGATGATGAGGAGGAGGAGGAGGAGAAGCAGCAGGAGGGAATCGGAGGAGGGGGACGGAGACGGGGAGGAGGAGGAGGAGGAGGAGGAGGAGGAGAAGGAGGAGCCAAAGCAGGGGCGCGAGGAGGAGCCAAAAGAAGCGCCAAGGGGGGGAAAGAGCGGGGAGGAGGCGAGGCGGGAACGGAAGGCCCGAAGGGGAGCCGGGAAGGCACAGAGCCACCGCCAGGCCTCCGCAGGCCCGCGCCTGCGCACGGCCGGTCAACTGGGCCGGGCGCCCGTGTCCCACCGAGGTCTTGGCGCGCCCCGGGCAAGCGGGGGCCAGGCGGCGGCACGGCGGGGTCGTGTCGCGACGACCCTGCGCGCTGATTTCTGCCACGGCGCCGATCGCTCCACCTTTGAACGATCGCGGCCCTCCGAGAGCGCAGATCCCTCGATGGCCTCGTCTGCGCCACTGGCGGCGTTCAACTCCGAGGGCCTGCGCTGGCGTCGCTGCCGCGTCGACAGGGCACGAGCCTGCTGCAGACAAGTCCCCCCTGCCACAAATGCAGCAACGGTGGGGGAGGGGAGGAGCAGGAACAGGCGGGAGAGGCGGCAGCATGGAGGCGAAGCAGCAAGACGGGGGAGGAAGAGGAAGAGGCGGAGATGGACTGGCGTAAAGATCTGGGGACAGAGTCGGAAGCGGGGATTTGTCCATATCCACCGCGTGAGAACCGATGATCTGGGATCCCAGGGGACGGTGTGTCTGTGTGTGGTTGTGTGGCTGTGTGACTGTGTGTATGTATGTATGTGTGTATGTATGCATGGATGGATGAATGTATGTAGGTATGTATATATGTATGTAGGTATGCAGATATGCAGACATGCAGGTATGTAGGTATGTAAGTATGTAGGTATGTATGTGTGTGCACCTATGGCTGTACGAACACGTAGGAATACCGACACACATACAAAACGGATCTGGCTTGATCTCCAGCGCGTCGGCGAGGCTGGGTCCGGAACGCCCCTGGAGGGCCCCAAAACGGCCCCAGAATGCACCAAGAGGGCCCAAAGACGGACCAAGAGAGGAAGAGGCGTTTTCAGACGGTCAAAAGAGGCCCCCGAGTCGCCGATGGATGGCCTCGAGACGGCCCAATCAGCCTCTAAGACGCCCGAAGAGGCACCCAAGAGCCCCCCCCCAAAACAGCCTCAATATTCGAAAAAATGCCCTATCCCCTAAGGGAAAACACACATGCTTAACAGATGCAACTTCACGGATTTACACGGCGTCCAAGACGGCACCCCATTCCCAGATCATCCCAAGAGCCCCCGAGAGGGCCCCGACACGCCCCAAGAGGACCCCAAGACGGCCCAAGAAGCGCCCAAAACGGCCAAGGAGGGCCCTTAGAGGGCCCTCGGAAAGGTCCACGAAGGGGGATTCGAATTGAACACATCGAGTTCCGTCGAGAGCGTGCCCGAGTTCACCACCTATGCGATGACCTCGGGCCCCACTCGCCATCACGCCCAAGGTTTCCTCGAAGAAAACAACACAAACAAACAAAACATACCCTGCCCTCGCCAGAAACTGTTGCCGACTCGGCGCCGAAATCCATATTGACCACGTTGACGGCTGCCTTGCTCGTTCGGCCGCGACCGACGTCCAGCTCCAAACCAGCGCCACGAAAGATATGAGCCTCCTGCGATTGCTGTAAAAGCGATTCCACATCACGGTTGGCAGGACAAGCGAAGATCCATTCAGTCATGTCTACCTCCACATCGTCGTCGTCGTTGCTGTGGCTGTGCTCGATCTTGAAGCATCTCGATGCCTTGAACTTCGGGGGCAAGCAAGATGCTTTCTTCCCCGCGACCGCGAACGAGTCCAGAAGGCTGGCTGCCGCGCAGAGGTCTTCCGCACGATCGGGCCCCTGAACTTTTTCTCCGCGAGGCCCACTCGAGACGGAACCACAGGCCCGAGAAAAAAAACCAGTGGTTTCTTGCCGACCGGGTTGCCCGGGAAGTCTACGCCGTTTGCCCTCGACCGTGCCCGGGCGCCCGCGCCTTCGTTGGCGCACTACTCGACCGCCCACCTCATGACTTTCAGTGGCCCAGTCTCCGAGGGCCCTCCCAAGGCGAAGTCCTGACCCAGCATCTGCGCCACGCACTCCTCGCCCAGCTGCAGGGCGGGCGTCGCCATCGCCTCCATCGGCTGTTGCCCCTGCCCGCGACCGCCTCCAACGACCGCCATTGCTCCTCGGCCTCCGCCGCAGCCTCTGGCCCAACCAGCTCCTCTCGGGGGGCCCTTGGCTTTCTTCTTCTTCGGGCCCTTGGACGCCCGGCCCCCCGCCCATTTCCCGGTCGGCCTCGCAGCAGAGCCGAAGAAAGACACCAGATCGCGCGGAAGCCGCGGGGGCCGCAGACCCCCGGGGCACTGGCCGCGCGGGCGCCGAGTCTCCATCCGGGAGAACTGGGAAACAAATAAATCGGGCACGTTTGACCTGGGAGCCCCGCCGCGAGAACTTAGCTCGACAACTGGGGCACTCGGCGCTGCCCTCGGGAATGGCCCCCGAAACCTGATGAGCACTGGGGCACTCCGCGCACTGAACACTAAAATGAAGGCGGGTAAGTTTTGTCGCATCAGCGTTCCCGGTCGACGCGGCCTGAGACGGAATGGCAGCTGCGACTGTCGGGCGGGTTTCGCGCGCTAAGCACTCCGGAGACGGCCGGCGCAGGATGCCTGACTCTCTGTCGACTCTTTCTGCACGAGAACGAGCACAGAATTCATCAATAGCAACGTCGAACACTGTCTCGATATCATGCAATAAGCGGCACATGCGAGGGGTAGAGACGTCGCGATCACCCTCGAAATCGCAACTACCGAAAACTGCGGCCCGCACCGCAACCGCAGGGCCATCTTCTCGCGCGCCCAGCGAAGGTTCCCCGATTGAATCAAGAAACAAAAGAGCGACAACTTCGCGCATCCACAGGCATCGCCGAACAAGAAGGTTAGATTCAACGCCGTGCACTCCACGACGCTCGCGCACACAATCAGACGAGACCCGAGATGTGCGAGCAGGAATTCTAGCAAGGTGGCGCAGGAAGCGCATGTGGAATATCTCGAGCTTCCTGCGGCCACCAGGACTGCTCGGCGAACTTCCCATGCACGAAATCGAATGGAACGGGCCAGGGCGGCCCAGGGCCTGGATCGCAGCCGAAGCGGGGGCGCCTTGGAGCGCCACATACAAATAAGGAGACTGCGATGGGACACGCGAGCTTTCTCGACGCGAGCCTCTACTTCAACCGAGTCGCGGTCAGATGTGGAAGCCCTGGGCCCCTGGCACTCAGATTCGGGCGCGACCGTGACAGGGGCCTCCGAGACCTTCCAGGACGACTTGCCCTGGCGGATCTTCTCGCCCACGGCCGTGGGCCCCCCCGAAGGCCCCCGCGGCGACCTCGAGCGCGGAAGCGTTCCTCCCGAAGCCGGGCTCAAACAAGATCATGAAATGTTGGCGAGGAAGGGGGCGATCGCGCCCGCGCCCGTTGAAACATCCAAACTGAGGTCGCACATATACACCGTTGGCTCTAGAGACAAGATTCAGGAAATCGAACACCGAAGCCCAAAGAAGGCTCGAACATCGCGTCGGATATCGCCGCGTAAACAATTGACCACCACGACGTCATTGGATTCGCCGAGCAGTAAGTCGCACAACATTACGAAACACCATGGGCCCTCAGAAGAGTTCTGCCGGGGCCCCGAGCTCGGTTTGCAACCGGCGGAGAACTCGGCACGTTTTCGCAACGCGGATACGGACACAGGCTCCGTCGTGAATATCTTCTGAGAAGACAATTAAACCCCCTCGAATAGGAAAAGCACGCGTCGCCTCCCAGAGCTCACCGCGAAGACCCCAGCGAAGGCTCGGAAAAGTCGAAGAGGCCTCGAAATTGGATGCACCGCTTGCTCTTGGCTCCTCTGCCCGCGACGGATGCCACTCGCCCGATGGTCTGCACAATCGCAATCGCATCACGCGCGCTGGGGTTGGGCGGGTCACCGAACTGAACCCCAATAATATCACGAGGAATACACCTTTCGAAACCCCCAGGAATGTCTCGATTTCCTTCCTACCCCATGGCTCAACATGCGAAGCACGCGATAGCACTCGCCAGCATGAGACCAGCCTCCCTCGCCAAGCTTCCGAAGATACACTGCATCGCCATCTTCGCGCGACACCGGAGCTGAGCAAGTCCCAGCCATGCCAGCGCGCGCAGCTGTCGAAGCCGGGGGAACTTCCGAGCGGGCAATATTGAACAACTCCGCGGCCGCGTCTCTGCACCCCCGGGCCGGGGCAGGGGCCAAACTGACAAGTCCAGCCGTGAATTACGGCATCGCGTCAATCGCGCATCCAACCATACGAAGCAAAACGCGAAGGGAGGCACACACGCAGAAATTGCAGGGCGGCGGTAGTTCACGCCGACGAAGGACGGGCTCAGCGACTGGCAATTCAACTCCGTCAGAGACGTGCCGCATTGCGATTGCTCCAGCCCCGGCCTCATCTTTGGAGCGCCAGCGGAACTAACTATTCCACTTGAGGGTAGCCAGCGGCGCCGAAGTCTCCAGGGCAACAGATGGGACGGACGGTTTGATGGCGCCACAAGTATCGCCACATTCGGAAAGACGAGCTGCATCAGAAGCAAGTGACCCTGCACTGGTCTTCCTGCCAGCTCCAATGGCCGCATTTGCTCGGTTCGTCGCCAGCCGAGCACGGCGATGGCCAAGGAAAGGATGGGCAGAACAAATAAGGGCATCAGTAAATTCACCATGTGCCACGACCCTCATCCAGCGGTGCGTCTTCAACCAACTGTTTTACATTGGATCCGCGTAACATGTTGAAGCGTCGGACAGGACGCGCTCCTGGTCGTTGTGGAAATCCAAACTCTATAGCACGTCAACGCACCACATTCTTGAGGCGATCGCACACGTCGCAGGCGGCGTAGCTGTCGGGGGGGGCAAATTCGCGATCCGCGCTCTCGCCATGGAACGCACATTGAGAATATTCTGGGTCAGTTTAGAGTTCGCGTATTCGCCGGGGAGTTCATCCAATGTTCGGCGCACCTTTGCAGCTTCTCCGAATAAAGCTTCGTTCCATCTGGGCGCTTTGGACGCCGTCATAGAAGGCTGCCGAGGAGAAAGAGAGAGAGAGAGAGAGAACACAAAAAAAGACACACACGGAAAAGCCCACCCAAAGGCCGATGGTCGCGATGAGCGGCTAGACCCACAGGCGAAACGCAATCAACATGAGAGTTGAACCTTGAGCTGCTCACGACTCTGCAGCTGGGACAACTGGTGCGACAGTGACATCCGTTGGGGCGAAGCCAGGTCCAAAGAAAACGTCGATTGCAATTGAAGGTGTTCAAGGCCTGCAGGCGATCATCCCACAAGATATTGGTGAGCTCGTGGCTGTTGGCGTTCAGGGTCGGTTTAGGCTTGCTTTGCCCGCCGAAGCCGATGAAGGGGAGGTCTTTCCTCAAGCCACGTTCCCGCCGACTCCAATAATCGGCGTTGAACGAGTGCGCTGGGTGAGATTAGACAGAGACGTCCCCATGCCTTGCCAGAACTGTCGCTGATCATCATGAAGCTCTCCATCATCAGCCTTAGACCGAAAAGGCCGCGTTGCCCGTCAACACATGCAAATCTCGCTCGCGCCGTCCAAGGCCGCAGCGCAGACGGACCCCACCCAACTTGCCAAGCACCCGCGTGTGCTTGCAAACCAAAGGGCCCGAGCCAAACATCTCGATTTCCGCGAATATCACCAGTCCATCACGAGACTGACAGGAAGATCTCGGAAATGGAACTACACGGCAGTCGGTAGAAAGCCAATACATATCGATGTCCATGGAAGTGCCCTACAGCAGGACATGGAACCCAGCATCGCGTGAGAATCGAGGAAGCCCACCGATCCTTCCAACAACCCGGAGGCACCCGCACTTATACACTCGAACACGTATATGGACTGCTTCGTCGATACCATGATGGGAAACTCGAGCACGCCAGAGCAGCCTCGAGAAGCAAGTGGTGAACTCAAGAGAACGCCGGGAAAGCCTCAGCTGGCGCTCCGAGCAGCTCGGCAGCCTTGGACCTGGCTCCTCAAGATACACGCACACTCTGGAGGGTCGCGCCATCGGCGAGCTGGGCTGCCTGCTGAAGATCATACTGCCGACCTTGTGTACCAACAGTGCCAAGAAGAACAGGCATCGAATGCCCCGCCGTACTGCCCACTTCGTGACATACGTGCCCGCGTTGTCCAGCACTGTAGACTTCGTAACCAAGAGGGCCCGCAAGACGGTCCAAGGGGGCTCTGAGTCACCGAATGATCGCTCCAAGACGCTCTCAAGATGGCCCCCAGACGGTCCAAGAGGCCTCCAAGACGCTCCAAGAGGCCTCCCAAGAGGGCTGGGAGAAGCCAAAATCATCGATTGTTGCTAAGTTCTTGTTGATTTTTGGCGTTCTCGTCGTTTCGGTTTCCCGACGTTCCCAGACGGCCCTAGAGGCCCCCAAGATCGCCCCAAGACGACCCAAGAGGCCCCCAAGAGGGCTCCAAGACGGCTAAAGAGGGCCCCAAGACGGTCTAGGAGGCGCCCAAGACGGCCCAAGAGGCGTCCCCAGACGGTCTAAGAGGCCCTCAAGCCGACTCCAAAACGGAGCCCAGATGGGGGGGCCGAGCGGACATTTCGAGCCTTCGGCACCAAGGAGCTCCCAGGAGGTCCAAGTGGTCCCCAAGAGCCGCCCAAGAGGCCTCAAGAGGCCCCCAAGAGGCCCCGAGAGGTCCCCAAGAGGCCCCCAAAAGGCACCCAATGAGGCCCCAAAACTGCCCCCAAGAGGCCCCCGAGTGCGCTCCGAACAGACTCCAAGAAGCATCCCTGAGAACTTTGACCCACGACCCAGGCACGTTCGCGGGATGGGTTGAAGGCCATATTGTGTGTATGTATATGCACCCACACCTATAAGTATACATGTGTGTGAATACACACATATACATACGTAGACACACGTATGCATACATACATGAAGTCATGCAACTGTACGTACGTACGTACGCATGTCTATACATACACACATACACACACATACATACATACATACCTACCTACCTACCTACCTACCTACATACATACATACATACATGCATGCATGCATGCATACATACATGCATGCATGCATGCATGCATGTATGCATACATACATACATACATGCATACATACATACATACATAAAGACATACCTACATACATACATACGTGCATATCCACATGCGTGCATGCATACATTCATACATACATACATACATACATGCATACATACAGACAGGCATACACGCATACAGACATGCCAACATACCTTAGTATATACGGACCTACATATATACACTCATAGATGCCTGCATGCATACATACATGCATACATACATAAACACGTACGTGCATGCATACATGCATACATGCAGACATGCATGCATACATACCTACACACATACACACATACACACGTACACACATGCATGCATGCATACATACAAACATAAATGTATACAAGCATACCTACATACAGACATACACACACATACGTACAGATGTGCATGCATACATACATGTATACATACATGCATGCATACACACATGCATACGATAATACCTATATACATACATGTATACACGTACACACACACGCACACCGATACATGCATTTAATATCCATATATACAAGCATACACATGCATGCATGCATACGTGTGTTCATGTGTGCATGCAAACATACAAACACGCATGCATGCATACATGCATGTATGCATGCATACATACATACACATATATATATATATATGTATATGCGCATGCGTCCATACATACAGACGTACATCTATGCATACATACATACACACATACAAGCATACATACATACACATATACATATAGACAGACAGACAGACAGACAGGCATACATACATACATACATACATACAGACATGCAAACAAACATGTACATATGCAAACATACAGCGTGGGGGGGCAGGGTCCAAATAGATCCAGATACACCGCCACCCGAGGTCCAGGAAGATCAGATTCCCAGGCAGTGGACATGAACAAATGCCAACCCCGGGAAGATGAGCGGGAGTAGAGGTAAGCGTCTGCCCGAAGAACACAAAGACATGAGGCCCACGGTGCTCGGCGAGACCCTTTCAGACGGCATACGCGCCCGCATCCCAGCGGGTTCGGACCGACCTCCCTCCTGCCTCCTCCTTCATCCCTCCTTCCTCATCCAACCTCCTCCTCCTCCTCCTCCTCCTCCTCCTCCTCCTCCTCCTCCTCCTCCTCCTCCTCCTCCTCCTCCTCCTCCTCCTCCCCTCCCGTCTGAGAGCGGGGGTCGCCTGCAAGGTTGGCGGCTAACCGAATTTCGCCACTCACAGTTCTCGTACGGTGCGGTTTCAAGTTCTCACTCGCGACCATTCCGAGCAGACGCCCAAACTCCACGATCCCGATCCCGCCCTTCCCCTCCCGTTCTCCTCCCCTCCTCCCCTCCTCCGGGAGGCTGGGCAGCAGGAGTAGCAGCAGGAGCAGCAGCAGGAGACAGGGGGCGGCCCAGCCGGCGTCGCGATGCTTGCACGACGTGGATCCCCGGAGATCTCGACCCCTTCCCTAGGCCTGGTGGCTTCCTCCCGAGTGCCGAAGTTTCTGACGGTCCCGAGGCCCAACAAGGGCCCCCAGAGGCCCAAAATAGACGGGGACCTCACGTCGTGTTTTTTGCGCGATTCGTGGGGGTCCGCAGGAGGAGAAGGAGGAGAAGGAGGAGGAGGAGGAGCAGGAGGAGGAGGAGGAGCAGGAGGAGGAGGAGAAGGAGGAGGAGGAGGAGGAGAAGGAGGAGGAGGAGGAGGAGGAGGAGCAGGAGGAGCAGGAAAAGCAGGAGGAGGAGGAGGAGGAGTGGGCGGCGCGCGCGCCCGCGTCCGCGAGCCGCGCCCACAGCGGAACGCCGTCGGCCTGCCGCCCGTGCACGTGCTCGAGGACGCGCTGCAGACGGTCCATCGCGGACGCGCGGTCCATCGCGGGCGCGCGGGCGGGCACCTCCTCCTCCTCCTCCTCCTCCTCCTCCTCCCTCCTCCTCCTCCTCCTCCTCCTCCTCCTCCTCCTCCTCCTCCTCCTCCTCCTCCTCCTCCTCCTCCTCCTCCTCCTCCTCCGTAGCCATTTTGGCTCAAGGTTTTGATTCCCTCGGGGTCAGAGTGGAGACCTCTGATCCGAGGACAGCTCTCAGCAGTTGCGGCCTGTTCGCCCAGGTCAGGACCGCCCGACACCCAGGTCGGGCCGCTTTCGTGAGCACGGCGCCACCATGCCGAGGCGCCAGACGTACACGGTCTGCAGCGGCTGCAGCAACTGGGTGTATGATTGGAAGCTGCAGCGCACGGGAGGCTGGTGCAACAAGTGCAACGACTACCTCAGCGGATGGAGTGAGCAGCCGCCGTCTGCGGGCCGCAGCCAACGAGGGGATGGCAAACCCCCGTGGGCAAAGCTGCCAGTCACGTCGCCCGCGGACGAGCTGCAGCACATCATCAACAAGTTCCAGCTGGGGAAGGGCGCCTACGCCACAGCCAAGGCCATGGTCGACCTTGGCCCGCTGCAGGCGCTCCAGGCCCAGCTCACAGCCAAGGCGCCGACGCCCGCGGAGATCCCGAAGGCAAAGGCGCTCAGGCAGGCGATCAACAACTTGGACCAGAAGAAGGCGGCGCTGGCGAAGGCGACGAGCCAACTCGCGGAGGCGGAGCGCTGTCTCGGCATCGCCACGGAGAGGCACAACAAGGCGCTGGAGGAGGCAGCTGACGCGGAGGAGGAGCACGAGGCAGTCCTGCGGGCGTACTCCAGCGAGGCCATCCCCTCTCAGGACGAGGCTTCGGCTACGGAGTGGAAGGCGCCCGAGGTGGACCCCACGCTCTTCGACAACCTGGACGACTTCGAGCCTGAGGATAAGAAGAAGCTACTTAAGTTCAAGTCGGACCTGTCGTCCCTCGCGAAGCTGCTGGAGAGCGCCCAGAAGCAGTACACGGAGTTCACGGAGCTCAAGAAGCAGGCGGACGCCATCCACGCTTCCCACAAGGCGAAGAAGCGGAAGGCGAACACAGGCGAAGAGGCACCAGCAGCGGCACCTACACCAGCAACCGACGACGACTCCAAGGCTGCTGGCTCTGAGGCGGACAAGCAGCCGTCAGAGGAGGAGGTGCAGCAGCGCAAGGACAGGTTGGAGAGGCTCCGTAACGACGCGAAGGTCAAGACGAATCCGAAGCAGGAGCCTGCTCAAGCTGAAGGCGCTGCTGCTGCTGGTGGCCATCGCCTTTAGCAAGGTGTTCTTCTCGAACATCACGCAGTGGGGCCCCAAGGCCCACAAGTTCATCAACGAGCAGGGCAACGACATGGACATAATCATGATGTGCGAGACGCACTTGGCGCAGGACCAGATGAAGCAGGTGAAGGTGGACGTGGCGAAGGACGGCTGGAAGTCGGCGGGCACAGCGGCGGTGCCCACGAAGCGCTCGGCGAACGGGACCTCGGGTGGTGAGCTCATCCTGGTCAAGTCTCACATCGCCTGCTCCACCTACGACACCATCAGAGAGAGGCTGCAGAATGACGGGAAGAAGGACCCCTTCTACGGCTTCACGGCGGTGAATCTCCACACCAAGGCGGGCAACGTGGTCTTGGTCACAGCATATTGGTTACCAGGAGCTGGTCTGCACGGTCCCAACCGAGAGAGGGTCAGAGCGCTGGCAGGATTCGTGAAGGCGTTGGCGGACCCGTGGGTGGTCTTGGCGGACTGGAACGTCACCTTCGCGGACATTGCCAAGACGGGCTACGTGCAGCAGATCGGCGGAGCGCTGGTCAAGCCAGATGTGGAGGTCACATGCGACAAGGGGAAGGGCAGCCTCATCGACTACGGCATCGCAAGGAAGGACTTCGCGCACAAGGTCAAGCTGGAGGCAGTCCGCACGGTGCCGTGGCGAACACACTGTGGACTGACGCTCACGCTGGAAGGCTCGGCGACGGCCTGGTGGCACCGCAAGATGCAGTTACCGAAGGAGCTGGCGACACCGCCGCGACCGAAGAAGATGGCGGATCCGAACAGCAAAAGGACCCGCAAACGACAGGAAGAACGGCAACGAGCAGAGGAGCGATTGGAGCCACACCTTCGGGAAGCCTTCCAGGAGCAGGCCATGATCGAAGAAGCGGAGTCAGAGGAGAAGGTTAAGGACTTCTACATCACAGATGGCACTTGGACGGTGGCGGTGGCGACGGCGAGCTTATCAGGTTCGAGCTCGACACCCTCGGCGTCCCAGATGATTCTTTTCGGGGGCAGCCAGGGCCGCACCCCACCTCCAGCCTCCAGCGCGTGGCCGCTCCTTGCGAGCGTTGAGCCGCCTGAGGCTGTCGGCCCTCCAAGCATGGAGGATAATGGGGTGCTGGCGTTCCCTGCTGCTTGGCCCGCCGCATCTCAGAGGACCTCATGCTGGCACCTCTCTAAGGAGCTCCAGTCATGGGACGACAAGCTCATCATCCGAGACGTCAGGCACCGCGAGGCAGAGGCAGCTGCGACGAGGATGTACGGCGACTGGGTCACCTGTCTGGAGGAGGCGGCGATCCTCACGGATGAGATCGACGAGGAGGAGGCCGAGCACTACAGAGGACGGGCTTCGGGCTTCGAGGTCAAGTGGGTCAAGGCGCGTTCGACACCAGGTCGCACCCACATGAAGTTCGGCCCAGCGGAGCAGTGGGGCATCCTCAACGCCATCCTCATCAGGTACCAGGCGCTGTACACCAACGGCACCGACGGCAGGCAGCAGGCAAAGTGCTTGGTGGAGGCAAAGGCGCAGGGCAAGGTCCTCCAGCAGATGGATCAGAGTCAGGTCTTTGGCAGGAAGCACGGCGCTGCACAGCAGCAGATGTTCTACGATATACTGGACGACCTGGCGGACTTGGATGAGGGGCAGCTCGGCAACTTAGTCATGCAGGCAGAGGGCCACCTCGCCACTGCGCAGGCGCGTGGCTTCACGGCGCAGCAGAAGAACTTCACGGCGTGGGCAAAGAAGGCATGGGCAGGCAAGGTCGGCCTCCTCCATCGGCACGTGAAGGAGCAGCAGGCGCCGAGGTTCGAGCTGTGCACGGAGGAGATGGAGGGCATCGCGGACCCAGACGCCCTCATCAGCATCAGGAAGCACGAGTGGGATCGCATATGGACGGACCCAGTGGACACGAAGGAGGACATCGCGTACCAGCTGGGCAGGCTACGCGATCAGTCCTGGGAGCACGTGCTGGAGCCCCTCACGCTGGAGCAGCTCGACGGGGCCATCGGTGCGTCGTCGTCGGCCAAAGCAAAAGGAGCTGATCATCTTGGCCCGCACGATCTGGCTCGGGCTCCCAGAAATGCAAGAATATGGTTACTTCACATCTTACAGTATTGCGAGCAGGAGGTCACATGGCCGAGGCAATGGGCAGCCACCAAGTGCGCACTGGCGGCCAAGCCCAAAGGAGGAGATCGGGTACTCGGTATGCTGGCCCTCCCCATCAAGCTCTGGTCCAGGGCGCGGGGAGGGTGCTGCACAGAATGGAGTGACGCGTTATCGGCCCATTGGGACACAGCCCTCAAAGGTAGCTCAGCCCTCCGTGCGGGGCTCATCAGGGCGTGCCTGGACGAGGTGGGGGCAGAGCTCGGAGCATCGGCGATGACGCTTCTGTTGGACATTGAGAAGTTCTACGACACAGTCTCGCTCGTCATCCTGTCCCAGATCGCCCTCAGAGTGGGATTCCCCGCAGTGGTGGTGGCGTTAGAGATCACCGCGTTCGTGGGCCCGAGGTACCTGCAGGAGCGCAACATTCTCAGCGAAGCGATCTGGTCCACGAGGTCTCTGGTAGCAGGCTCTGCCAGAGGCGTGGGGTTGGCGAAGCTGTTCTTGCACCCGATATTAGACAGGGCGCATCGGAGGTCGCCACAAGCTTCGCTGTGGACATTCGTGGACGACACGGTGGCGAGACAAGAAGGTAGCAGGCAAACAGTCGGCGATGGCATCATCCAGGTCACGGAGATCATCACGGACGGCCTCAAGGAGCAGAGGATGAAGATCTCCAGCAAGTCGGTCCTGATAGGCACCCACCCGAAGGACGTGAAGCGGACGGCCAAGTCCATGAGGAAGAGGCAGATCCCCGTCTACGCAGTCACGGAGGCACTGGACCTAGGCATGGATTCGTCGGCTGGGAGGAAAAGGGTTACTACGAAAGCGAAGCAGCGTGCCAAGAGAGCGAAGCACAGGTTCGCCAAGATCGTGAGGCTGCGTCGCACCGCGGCCTTGGCCAAAGAGAGTAAAGGATTATGGACGGCAGGAGCAGTACCACAGGCAGTGTACGGCCACCAAGCTTTCGGGCTCGCAGTCCATGAGCTCCAACGCCTACGACGACAAGCTGGACAGGTGGCAGGAGGTAAGGCGCGCGGCCGATGCTTGACGACGACACTGGCGGTCGAGTTGTGGAAGGGCGATCCAGGGGTGGCAATACGTGTTGCCGTGGTCAAGGAGTGGATCAACCTGTGGCAGGGCTACCCAGAGAACCACGCCAGGATCGTCAAGGCATGGCCGCGGATATTCGACCGTCTGTCAAAGCTTGGGGCAAAACGCTGGAGAGGAGTGCGCGGACCAGTCGGAGCGGTGCAGGCGACCATCATGGACGTGGGTTGGTATGCACCAACGGCGACGGTGTGGATGCGACCAGTCGGAGCAGATGAGGATCCAGCAGAACAGTGGGACATCCCGTCCGCCACGGACGGCACGTTCGACAACACGGGGTGCTTCCAGCAGCTGATAGACGACTTCGAGGACGACATCGTAGCTCAATACTGGAAGGCTGCAGCAGCACACCCACATGGTGAAGGTCTGGAGGATGGAGCGGATGTCTGGCAGATCCGCGCTGAGCAGCGAAGGTTCGAGAAGCAGGGGCAGCTGGACATGGTCGGAGCCAACATCGCCGTGGTCGCGGGAGGACAATGGCCGAAGCAGCGATCCGTCGACCAAGGATACCTCCTGGACTGCAAGAAGTGCGATAGGTGCAAGGAGGAGGAGGAGACCTTGATGCATCGGATCTGGCTATGCCCCAACAACGTGGACCACGAGGACTTCACCAAGTCGGCGGACCTCCTGCCGGCTGCGATGGCGCAAGCTGAAGCAGAGCCAGCGCTGTGGCTGCGAGGACTGCCGCCAGCCTCTCTCACGCACCCTAGGTTTAATGATGAACTGATTTAGGGGAGGGAGGTTCGGTTCGGTGAGCTGGGGGACTGGGAGGAGTGTCGGTACGAAGGAGAGATCCACATTTTCGGCGACGGCTCTGGAGGGAAGCACTCCTCGGACCCTCGCCGACGCCGCTGTGGATCAGCGATTGTAGCATTGCAGGTGCGCGACGGGGAGTGGAGTGTGGGTCGTGCTGTTGCAGTCCCACTCCTCGGTCGCAGGCAAACGGTTCCCCGCTCGGAGATTTTAGCGTTCGCCCTGGCGCTCGAAGAGTGCCACGCTGATTTCATTTTCATTACTGATCATAGGACGATCGCGAAGACCTGGAAATACCGCATGGAGCACCCTAAAGCCACGGGTCCCAATGAGGACCTTTGGGCCCGAGCCAGAGTGGCCTGGCAGACTCACCCAGACAGATTTGTGAAGGTAGAGTGGACGGCGTCCCATCTGGACGAGACGCCTGAGCTGCTTGAATCGCCGCGGCAGCTGTTCTTGGCAGCAGGGAATTTAGCAGCTGACGTCTGGGCGGGAGTCGGGGCGGAGCTGGCTTGGGAGTTCGGGCTGGTGGGGAGGGCCCCAGAGACTGACAAGATAGACGCGATCGCACACCTCGTGCGGAAGCGAGCGCGCAGAGCATTGCTACTGGCCGCCGCGTCGGGGACGTCAGAGCGTGCTGGTAGAGCCCCCAGTAAGTAAGAGACTTTTAAAGCAGGAGAGATTGATCAGGGATTCTCCCCACCAGCTAGAGCGTGTTGGAAACAAGTGGAGATGCTCACAGTGCGACGAGATCGCGACTGGAGCCAGGTTTTTGCGTTTTTCGGTTTCCCCGTGTCCTGGGCCCCCTGGCAAAACCAGGTCGGTGGTCCCAGAGTTCCTGCCGTTTAAAGGAGTGGACCTCGAGATCCACGAATCCCACACGATCACTAGGGTCGATCGCTGGTTCTTGCAGATCTGTTCGGTCTGCGGCATGTATGCGACTGTGGACTCGAGGTCCTTGCGTCTGAAGTGTCGAGGTCTCACACCGAACGGTGCCGAGAATATTCGTCGAATTGAATTAGGTCTTTTCCCTCGGCGTGAGGGCCCCCCCAGAGCCATCAAGATGGCCATCGCTCGCAGAGATGAGGGTCGTGTCGTGTCGGCCCACGAGGCTAGGGGTTCGCAGGAGAACAGCGAGCGTGGGGGGGGCCCCACCGAGCCTCCCGCGGCGACCCGCGCCCGCAACGACGGGCACGAGCGGGGTCAGCCGAGCAGTGCAGCCGACGAGTCGCGCTTCCAGGCAAACGTTCAGAGATTGCTGGCTGCTGCGAGAGGCACGGCTGCGCATGTGCGGGTGCCGCGGGAGGATTCAGAGTCTTCCGATTGACGGCAGATGCCCGTAAGCAGGACGAAGACTGAGGGACAGAGGTCCGAGAGCAAAGAGGTCCAAAGAGGTCCTCCTCCTCCTCCTTTTCATCCTCCTCCTCCTCCTCCTCCTCCTCCTCCTCCTCCTCCTCCTCCTCCTCCTCCTCCTCATCCTCCCTGCGGGGGGGGGGGGACAGGGGAGGGACAGGGGGACGGGCGGATGCAGTGCCAGCTCTCCGCCTCAAGGCTTCAAGACACCCCAAATAAGCCCCCCAGAAGCCCCAAGGGGAGCCCAAGAGACTCTCAGGACACCAAAACAAGCCCCCAAAGAGGCGACCGAGAGGGTCCAAGAAACCTCCGAACTGACTCCAGAAAGCCCCCGAGAGAGGCCTATCATCATGGGGGTCGTCTTCCAGAGTCGGCAGCACCAGCCGTAAGGCCTTCCCAAGATCAGGAGGGAGATGGAGGGGAAGGAGGAAAGGGAGGCGAGGGAGCAACATGATACTGGAGAAACAACCCAATCACATGTTTTAATCTTCCGATAGTTCCCTTTGTAGTCGGTCGTTGTGCCGTACTGAAATCACCTTGTCGCCGTCGTTGTTGCCGTACTGAAATCGATCGTGATGTGGACAGTGCTGTAGGGCTATAGGGCTATGGGGCTATAGGGCTATAGGGCTATGGGGCTATGGGGCTATCGGGCTATAGGGCTATGGGGCTATCGGGCTATAGGGCTATGGGGCTATAGGGCTATAGGGCTATCGGGCTATAGGGCTATCGGGCTATAGAGCTATAGGGCTACTGGACTACTGGGCTATTGGGCTATTGGGCTATGGGGCACCCCCCGGGCACCCGGGCACCCCCAGGCACCCGGGCCCGGCCACCGAAATCGGCCGCACACCGGGCACCCAGGCACCCGGGCACCCCCGGGCACCCGGGCCCGGCCACCGAAATCGGCCGCACCTCTCACCTAATCCTTTAATCCGCTAGGACCCCTACAGAGGCAAGCTCTGATTGGGTGATTGGGGAAATAGAACGGGCGGGAGGGCAACAACTAAAACCGGCCAGGAGAAAACTCGGCTGGGCTGACGTCGGAGAGCTGACCTCAGCCGGGCGGAACTCGGCCGGCGGACCTCGGCCAGGCCGAACTCGGTCAGGCCGAAGTTGGCCCAGGCCGACCTCGGCCTGGCCGAGGTCCGCCGGCCGAGCTCACAGCCTGGCCGAGCTTCGCCCGGCCGCGTCTTGCCCTCGTCGGAGGAGGAGGAGGAGGAGGGGGAGGAGGAGGAGGAGGAGGAGGAGGAGGAGGATGAAAAGGAGGAGGGGGAGGAGGAGGAGGAGGAGGAGGAGGAGGAGGAGGAGGAGGGGGAGAGGGCGGAGGTGGGAGGGGGGGAACGGAGGCGCGGTCGAGCCTGCCAGACGGGTTTCGACGGAGCTGGCCCACGGAGCCAAAACGGCCACGAGGAAGGGGAGGAGCAGGAGAAGGAGAGGGACAGGGGGGAGGGGGAGGAGAAGCTGGAGCCGGGGAAACAGGAGGACAGAGCAGAACCGGGCGGGAGGAGGAGAAGGGACTAGAATTGCGGGGGTTGGAAGCTGTAGGAGAGAAATCATGGCGGCAAAAAGATAGTGAATGCACTGTTTAACTCTACGTACAACATACAGATATGCGTCGACGCTCGGGCCAAACGGCGGCGGCCCCTCCTGTTCGAGTAAGGGGTCGAAAAGGCCACCAGCCCAAAACGGCTGCGAAGGTGCTGGAGGAGAGGGGCAGGAGCAGGAGGAGCAGCAGGAGGACCCCACCCAAGCGCACCGCTGCGCATCAGATATGTTCCGCTCGAACGGCTTCGGTGCTGGCATTGCCGGGGCCTTCCAGGACTCCGACCAACGCCCGCCATTCTGGTAAGAGCCGAGGTTTCCGAGAGACAGTCGACGTGCGGGGGTAAGAAATCTGCCGTCGTCGTCCCTCGTCTTCCTCCCTAGCTTGCAAAATACAGCAAACCTCACGGAAGCCTGGGAAAGGATGACCTCCTCCTCCTCCTCCTCCTCCTCCTCCTCCTCCTCCTCCTCGTCTTTCTCCTCCTCCTCCAACTCCTCCTCCTCCTCCTCCTCCTCCTCCTCCTCCTGCTCATCATCATCATCATCATCATCATCATCATCATCATCATCATCATCATCATCATCATCATCATCATCATCATCATCATCATCATCATCATCATCATCATCATCATCATCATCATCATCATCATCATCGTCATCAGCAGCAGCATCATCACCACCATCATCATACTCATCCTCATCCTCATCCTCCTCCTCCTCATCATCATCAGCATCATCGTCCTTATCATCAGCAGCACCATCAGCATCATCATAATCATCAGCAGCATCATCCTAATCATCATCATCAGCAGCATCATCATAACCATCGTCATAATCATCATCGTCCTCGTACTCGTCCTCGCCCTCCGGAACCATCATCATCACCATCAGCATCGTGATCATCATCAGCAGCATCAGCAGCATCATCAACAGCAGCATCATCATCATGGTCATCATCCTCGTCAGCACCCTCATCACCATCATCATCATAATCATCACCATAATCATCATCATCATCATCATCATCATCATCATCATCATCATCATCATCATCATCATAATGATCAGACTCATCATCAGATTCATCGTCGTCATCGTCATCATCATTATCTCATCAGCAGCATTGTCATTATCACCGTCACCATCATCATCAGCATCATCATCAGCAGCATCATCATCCCCATCCCCATTCTCATCCCCAGCATCATCGTCGTCATCGCCATCACCATCATCACCAACCACAGCATCATCATCGTCACCATCGTAATCCCCATCATCGTCACCATCATCAATGTTACCAGCATGGTTCTCATCATCATTATCATCACCGTCGTCGCTATCACCATCATCATCGTCGCTAGCATCACCACCAACAACAACAACATCATCATCATCATCATCACCACCACCACATCATCATCAACAACATCATCAGCATCAGCATCATCATCATCACTATTATAAACCATTATCGTTTCCGTCGTCCTCGCCATCGCCCTCTTTCTCCCGCTCCTCCTCGCCCTTTCCCTCCGTCCTCCCAACCCCTCCCTCCTCGCACTTTCTGCGCCCTGGGCATCGGTGTCCTGCTATGCATCGAGGGAGCCGTGTGTTTCGGTGGCGTGTCGGCCCAATGCGGCCTGCTGTGCGTCTCGTTCGGCACCGTGTTCGTCTGGCCCAGCGGATGTTGGGCTGGGCTTCTGCCAGTCCTGGCTCGTAGTGGGCTCGGGGAGCCCTTCAGCGACTCCTGGTCCTTTCCGCGGGTTCGCTGTTGCGTCCGACCTCGACAAGGGTCTGGTTCGCCTCGCCGAGGTCGGCGCATGCGTTCGGGGCCCAGCCGCTGCTGGGCCCGCTGCTGCCAGTTCAGGCTCGCAGGGGGGGCAAGGGGAGGCCCCCGTGGGTCCACATGTTCTACGACCTCCTGCGGTCTGTGCGGAGGCTGTGCGGGCGGTCCTGCTCGACTTCGGCCTCCCCCTCTTCCTCGACGACATCCACTGACGTCTGCGGCGGGCCGTCGCCCTAGCTGCTGCGCGGTGTTTCACCCCGAGACGCAACGCCCTGCCTTGCCACCTCGCCACCTTCCTACTCCTCCTCCTCATCCTCCTCCTCCTCCTCATCCTCCTCCTCCTCCCCCTCCTCCTCCTCCTCCTCCTCCTCCTCCTCCTGCTCGTCCTCCTCCCGCCTCCTCCTCCTCCTTCTCCTCCTCTCCTCCTCCTCCTCCTCCTCCTCCTCCTCCTCCTCCTCCTCCTCCCCTCCTCCCCTCCTCCCCTCCTCCTCCTCCTCCTCCTCCTCCTCCTCCTCCTCCTCATCCTCATCCTCCTCCTCATGCTGATAAATTATGATTAGTCATATTCGGATGCTGTTTCATACCATTACTATTATCGTGTTAGTATTCAAAAAGAAAGATATTTGATATTAGTTCAATAGCGTTCGTCTTCTTAGTTTCCTCATACTATTATTCCTCATCATCCTCCGCCTTCTCCCTCTGCTCCTCCTCCACCTCCCTTTACTCATCCTCCTCCCCTTCCTCATCCTCCCCTTCCTCCTCCTCCCTCTCTCCCTTCCTCATCCTCATCCTCTTTCTCATTCTCCTCCTCCCTCCCTCCCTCTCTCCCTCCCTCCTTCCTTCCTCCCTCCGGCCCTCCCTCCCTCCCTCCCTCCTCAATCATCCCTCTTCCTCCTCCTCCTCCTCCTCATCATCATCATCATCATCATCCTTCTCCTCCTCCTCCTTCTTATCCTTCTCCTCCTCCCTCCTCCTCCTCCGCCTCCTCCTCCTCCTCCTCCTCCTCTCCCCTCCTCCTCCCGACTCCCTCCTTCCTCCTCCCTCTTTCCTCCTCCCTCCTGCCTCCCTCCTCCCTTCTCCCTCCTCCCTCCCTCCTCTTCTTCTTCTCCTCCTCCTCCTCCTTCTCCTCCCCCTCATCCTCATCCTCATCCTCTCTTCACATTCTTCCCCCTCCTCTTCCGCGTCGTCTTCGTCTTCGTGTTAGTATTCCTCCTCTTCCTCCTCCTCCTCCTCCTCCTCCTCATCCCCCCTCCTCCTCCTCCTCCTCCTCCTCCTCCTCCTCCTCCTCCTCCTCCTCCTCCTCTCCTCCTCCTCCTCCTCCTCCTCCTCCTCCTCCTCCTCCTCCTCCTCCTCCTCCTCCTCCTCCTCCTCCTCAATCCAGGGCCGCCGCGCGCCAGGGCCGCCCGTGCGCATGTGGCCCCCTCGGGGCTGAACGCTGCCTCCTTCAGGCGGCTGCGGCTTGAGACGAAGCACATATTTCGCAACTCCGAGGTTAAGTACTTCTTCGAGTTCTGCTTCCACCAGTGCTTCTACTGGTCCATGCGCAGACTCGACTTCCTGGTGCCCTACCCGCTCATCTGCGGCGACCTGGGAGCGCGTATATCCGAATTTGCCCATCATGGTGACTGGCCCAGTGTCAACGTCACAGTGCTGGACGTCGGGACCTCTTCCATCGCCTCCGCCAGGCAACTGGGACGATCCACTGGACGCGGGCAAGGAGTACAACACGAAGGTGAAGCTGGACACGGTCACCCTGGTCCTCACTTCGAAGGAGCCGATCGAGGGCACGAGAGCAGCGCCACCTTCACCGCCGCCACAGCCCGTCAAGAAGCTGAAGCGCTGGCACAAGACGCTCGGCACAGTGAAGCTGGATCAGAGCATCGGGAAGCAGAAGGAAAACGTGAAGAAGAAGAAGAACGGCCAGTCCTCGGCCATCAAGAACTACAAGAAGAGGCTGAGGCACAAGATGCTCAAGGCCTGCGTGTACAGCCTCTCCGTCACGGCTCCCCAGGCGAGCCCGTCGTCTTCGCAAGCTCCTCTCGGCGGTCAGAGCTCAGCACGTGCGACGAGCTCAACAACTCCTGCGGGATCATCTTCATCTAAGGGATCGGCGGTGCTCGTGAACGTCGGCCGGTGCCCTGTGGCGCTGCCGCCGCTGCCGCTGCCCTTCCAGGTGAAGAAGGAGTAGAGTCCACCAAGTTCGGCGAGGCTCCGTTGATTTTCACGCCGGGCGCATTTTCGGCCTTACAGTTCGAGGAGTTTCAGCCCAGGCGTCCTACCATCGTCAAGGCGTTTCCAGCCATGACCGTTTGCAAAACAGTTGTTCCGAGCACGCTTGAGAAGGACTCCAACCAGTAGACCGACAAGCTCGACAACTCCGAGGGCACGACATCTTTGAGGGCGCCTTGCCCAACACCTCCGAGGGCAACTTCATGCCCGACTCCTCCGAGGGCCACTTCGAGCCCGACTCCCACTTCCTCGGCGCGCCGATCCACTCTGACGGGCCCGAGCGTTACGACATCGACCTCGGCGCGCCGCTCCGCTTCGACAGGCCCGAGCGTCACGACGTAGACCAGCAGAGCGTCGGCGGGGTCGTCGAGGGCAGCCTCGACGGCAGCGGCGAGGGCTCCACCTGCGAAGGCTCCCCCGAGCTCTTGGCATCGAGGAGGGCGGCGACCACCTTGGCGGCGGCTCCCACGACAACGGCTCGGAGTGCCTGGGGGCCTCGCGCACATACACGGAGGAGCAGTTGGCTCCGCTTGGGCCTTCCAGGCTTGCTGTGCTCCGCAGGTTGGGCTTCATCCAGACATCGTGCAGAAGATCTGCATGGTCTCCTTTGGCATCGTCGGTCGGTTGGTTGAGGAATTCAGCAGCGTGTGGAAGGGCTCTCAGCTCTACTCGGACATCCCATTCTAGGCATTCTGGTTCAAACCCGCACGTGCAGGCCCGCGCGTTCCAGCGATTACGAGCCTGGGTGTGCGCAGCGCACTGGAAACATCCTCCTCCTCCTCGTCCTCCTCCTCCTCCTTCCTCCTTCCTCCTTCCTCCTTCCTCC